AACTGATGGTGTTACTTGGCACTGTATGAATGTACAGTTGTCTCCAGTCATTTCACCTATAGTTTTTAACACTAATTAATAATCTTTGCCGGCTTCCCTAGTGGCTCAGCTGGTAAAGAATCTGCCTGCAATGCAGGAGACCTGGGTTCAATCCCTGGGTTGGGAAGATCCTCTGGATAAGGGAATGGCGACCCACTCCAGTATTCTGGCCAGGAGAATTCCATGAACTGTATAGTCCGTGGGGTCTCAAAGAGTTGGACACAACTGAGTGACTTTCACTTCACTTCAATAATCTTTGCTAAGACCAAAAATTTTTCTAGAGTTCACAAAATGCTGTTTTTTCCAATTCTGTCATTCTTTCTACATTTATTCGCATTTTTTCACTCTTCAACAAGGATTCAAATTAATACTATAAAAAATAACTCCCAATGGGCCAAATTCAAGGCATTTGGGGGCAGGATTAGCCTATGGGTTGCTACCTTCTGATCGACACTTTAGGCCAGACCAGTCTCACCACTGTCATCAGTACCCTGTGCATTAGATCTCTTATTTGTAACACTCAGTTTCTTTGCAGTTGCTGACATGTTGTTTGTAACCTTCTCACCGCATTTTGTGTGTGTATTTATCTCCCCGGTAGACTGTGACCTCCTCAAGGACAGGGGCTCTTCTGCAGTATATTTCTTTTGCTTCTTCTTCTGCTGCTGCTGCTAAGTCACTTCAGTCATGTCTGACTCTGTGCGACCCCATAGACGACAGCCCACCAAGCTCCTCTGTCCCTGGGGTTCTCCAGGCAAGAACACTGGAGTGGGTTGCCATTTCCTTCTCCAATGCATGAAAGTGAAAAGTGAAAGGGAAGTCGCTCAGTTGTGTCCGACTCTTAGCGACCCCATGGACTGCAGCCCGCCAGCCTCCTCCGTCCATGGGATTTTCCAGGCAAGAGTACTGGAGTGGGATGCCATTGCCTTCTCCATTTGCTTCTCCTAATGTGCTCTTAAAGGTACTTTGGTGATTGCTAATTCTAATTAACAAAAAAGCACTAGGAAAAACACAAAATTTTCATATTGTCTCTTGTGTTCCCTGGCTTTCCCACTAAAACTTGTCCTAATTATCTATCATAATGAAGTGCTTGTCTCATTTACAGTTTACTTATGCCCTGGGAGTCCCTGTGAGGAGGGGGAGAGAAGAGGGGAAATAAGCCTTTTACTAATCTTCAAAAGTTAGAAAGTCATTTTCCAGCTTTGTGACCTTGGGTAAGTTCCATCATCACTCAAGAGTTCCTATATCTTCACTCAGTAAAATGAGGTGATGGGGTTATCTCTGAACTCACACCTCACTTGGCTCTAACACTCTCGGATACAAATCTAACCAATGCCTTTTAGTAGATGTTCCTCCTAACCCATCTCTCCCTGCTTCGGTAGCACCTTGGTTCCCTTTATATGGGTCAACACTATCCTTTCTAAGATGAGATGAAGTCATACCCATGGTAGACAGAATTTGCCTCTGATGACTTCCTGACCATCATAGTTAGACTGGTCTAATCTCTATACAGTCATCAAAAACAAGACTGGGAGCTAACTGTGGCTCCTTATCACCAAATTCAGACTTAAACTGAAGAAAGTAGGGAGAACCACTAGACCATTCGGCGAAAAAGTGAAGGGAAAGTGAAAGTTGCTCAGTCGTGTCTGACTCTTTGTGACCCCATGGATATACAGTCCATGGAATTCTCCAGGCCAGAATACTGGAGTGCGTAGCCATTCCCTTTCCTAAGGGATCTTCCCAACCCAGGGATCAAACCCAGGACTTCAAATTGCAGGTGGATTCTTTGCCAGCTGAGCCGCCAGGGAAGCCCCTAGACCTTTCAGGTATGACCTAAATCAAATCCCTTACAGCCATATAGTGGAAGTGACGATAGATTCAAGGGATGAGATCTGATAGACAGAGTGCCTGAAGAACTCTGGATGGAAATCTGTAACACTGTACAGGAAGCAGTAATCAAAACCATCCCCAAAAAGAAATGTAAAAAGGCAAAATGGTTTTCTGAGAAGGCCTTACAAATAGCTGAAAAGAGAAGTGAAAGGCAAAGCAGAAAAGGAAGGATATATCCATCTGAATACAGAGTTCCAAAGAATAGCAAGGAGAGGTAAGAAAGCCTTCCTAAGTGATCAATGCAAAGAAATAGAGGAAAACAATAGAATGAGAAAGACTAGAGATCTCTTCAGAAAATTAGAAATACCAAAGGAACATTTCATGCAAAGATGGGCACAATAAAGGAGAGAAACAATATGGACCTAAGAGAAGCAGAAGATATTAAGAAGAGGTGGCAAGAATACACAGAAAAACTATACAAAAAAGATCTTAAAAAAAAAAAAAAGATCTTAAGGATCCAGATAACCAAGATGGTATGATCACTCACCTAGAGCCAGACATCCTGGTGTGCGGAGTAAAGTGGGCCTTAGGAAGCATCACTATGAACAAAGCAAGCTAGTGGAGGTGATAGAATTCCAGCTGAGCTATTTAAAATCATAAAGATAATGCTGTGGAAGTGCTGCCCTCAATATACCAGTAAATTTGGAAAACTCAGCAGTGCCCACAGAAGTGGAAAAGGTCAGTTTTCATTCCAATCTCAAAGACAATGCCAAAGAATGTTCACACTATGGCACAATTGCACTCATGTCACACGCTAGCAAAGTAACGCTCAAAATCCTCCAAGCAAGGCTTCAGTAGTACTTGAACGGAGAACTTCCAGATGTTCAAGCTGTATTTTGAAAAGGAAGAGGAACCAGAGATCAAATTGCCAACATCTGTTGGATCATAGAAAAAAAGAATTATGGCAACCCACTCCAGTACTCTTGCCTGGAGAATCCCATGAACGGAGGAGGCTGGTGGGCTGCGGTCCGTGGGGTCGCTAAGAGGTCAGTGGGGTCGCTAAGAGTCGGACACGACTGAGCGACTTCCCTTTCACTTTTCACTTTCATGCATTGGAGAAGGAAATGGCAACCCACTCCAGTGTTCTTGCCTGGAGAATCCCAGGGACGGAGAAGCCTGGTGGGCTGCTGTCTATGGGGTCGCACAGAGTTGGACGCGACTGAAGCGACTTAACAGCGGCAGCCACCAATTTCTATAGCCTCAAAATAAAGAAAATTTCTGCTGGAAGGTTGGCGTTAGGTGTATGGTTGGGGTGCTATAGGTGTTTACTGGAGCGAGCATCTTTGCCTACTTGGGAGTCAGGAAGCTTGTTAGTGATGATCAGGGGCTTTTGGTAATGGTTACAAAGGGGATCGATTAGCTTCAGAGGTGTCCTTGGTTCTGGGCCCCACTTCTGTGACCTTGCCACAAGGCCTCTCACCTGTGGCCTGGGGCAGGACTCAATGCTCTGTGGAAGGAAATGGCAACCCACTCCAATATTCTTACCTGGGAAATCCCATGGACAGAGGAGCATGGTTGGCTACAGTCCATGCAATTGCAAAGAGTCGAACATGACTTAGTGACTAAACAACAACTCTAGCTGGAACACTCTTCCCAGGATTATACCCCAGATCTACCGGGAGAAATTAGTAATACTTCACCAGCTCGCACATCACCTCTTTCATGACACCTGTCCTCCCTCTCCCAGGTGTCTGTGGGATGTCCTTCCAGCCACCTCTCACCAAGTAGAAGGGATCTCTCCTTTCTGCCCACTGTGGCCAGAACAGGCTTCCTTCAAGCACCCATCACATTTTACTACCTTCCTTTATATTCGTCTGTCTCTCTTCCTAGACTGTGGACTCCTTGAGCAGAAAGTCTGAGTCTCATTTAACTCTAAAATGTCTCTAGGGACTTGCCTGGTGGTCCAGTGCCTAAAATTCCACACTCCAAATNTCTTCGCATCAGGTGGCCAAAGTATTGGAGTTTCAGCTTCAGCATCAGTCCTTCCAATGAACACCCAGGACTGATCTCCTTTAGGATGGACTGGTTGGATCTCCTTGCAGTCTAAGGGACTCTCAAGAGTCTTCTCCAACACCACAATTCCAAAGCATCAATTTTTCGGCGCTCAGCTTTCTTCACAGTCCAACTCTCACATCCATACATGACCACTGGAAAAACCATAGCCTTGACTAGACGGACCTTTGTAGGCAAAGTAATGTCTCTGCTTTTTAATATCCTGTCTAGGTTGGTCATAACTTTCCTTCCAAGGAGTAAGCGTCTTTTAATTTCATGGCTGCAGTCACCATCTGCAGTGATTTTGGAGCCCACAAAAATAAAGTCTGACACTGTTTCCACTGTTTCCCCATCTATAAAAATGCTTTAGCTCACTACTTTTTCCCAACTTTTTTCTCTCAGTCCTGTAAGTCTCCTTCCCTTCTTTTTGTTCCCTTCCATATAGGTATAGTCTCAGGAACCTTATCCAACTAGCTTTCTGTACCCAGAAACAGCTATTAGGTCCACCTTGACTGAGGACGTAATCAAGAGATAAACGGAGCCTTACCATTTCCGTGGCCTTGAGTGCTCCAGGTGGAAGGGGGAAGCAGTCAAGTCTCTAAAGAGTCAGGCAGAGAAGCTCCCCAGAGCTGCCTTATTCACAAACCACATTTAGGCCTGTAGCAAACAGGGTTAGCCAGCCAGAGCACATAGCTCAAGCATGCTGTGAAAGCCTGACCCCTGTCCGTGACTCTCATCTAAAGAGACACGAAATGGATTCATAATTCTTCATTTTCTCCTCTCCGCATCTCAGGCCTAGTGGCTATTGATGAAAATCAGGTGGTGGATTGGCCAAACAAGGCCCACCTGTTGCTGTATTCTTGGCGGCATCCCATGAACCTTTCAGTGCCAAGAGGATATAGCAAGCAGAACTACTAAAGATGAACCGTCTCCCCGTGAACAGGGAGAAGGGAAGCTCTTGACATGTGGGCTATGCTTGGAGCTTGCCAGTGATGCCATGGGGCGGCTGGGGCTGCTCTTATGGCATGGTCTGCCTTCCCTGGGCCCGTTTTCATCAGACCTTACCACTTGTTTTTCCTCAGAAAGGAGGGAGAAAGTGGTTCCTGTGGCAAAGACAGAGTCTTGGGGACTCCCACAAACAGGGCTAGAACAGGTAAGCACAGACCTGGAAAGGAATCAGCCAGTCAGTGATGGAGGTCAAGATTCCCAAGAGTAAATGAACTGAAGGAGGAGTTCAAACCTGGTGCTCTGTGACAACCTAGAGGGGCGGGATGGGGTGAGAGGTGGGAGGGAGGCTCACGGAGGGGACGTATGTATTATACCTATGGCTGATTCATATTGATGTATGGCAGAAACCAATACAATATTGTAAAGCAATTATCCTCCAATTAAAAAAAAAAAAACAAAAAAACGGAAGGGATGGAGGTAAGGCTACACATGCTTGTCTGGATTTCCCAGGCCTGAAGTAGCCTGATGAGAAATTTTCCCTGTCACAGAACCTTTGTATTCACTTATTTAATGACAATAGTTCAGAAGAAGCAATCCCAGCTGTGCTGTGCGCTTCATCGCTTAAGTCGTGTCTGACTCTGCGACCCCATGGACTGTAGCCTGCCAGGTTCCTCTGTCCATGGAATTCTCCAGGCAATACTGGAGAGGGTTGCCATGCCCTCCTCCAGGGGATCTTCCCAACCCAGGGACCAAACCTAGGTCTCGGCCCACATTACAGGTGGATTCTTTACCATCTGAGCCATCAGGAAAGCCCAATCCCAGCTGTAGAACAAGTAATTTCAGAACATTTATCCCACCAAAAACAAAGTGCATTTCCTCCGTTTCTGGCACTCTGGTGTGAATCTCTTCCACTCACTCAGAGGCCTCTATTATGCTATTCCCAGGTTGGCTGGCAAAGTCATCAGAATCATCCGTAAATGTGAGTTATTTCCAATATGAAACTAAGTGGCACAGGATGAAGACTAAGGATCAAATGTTATCAGATTAATTTGCCTAAAACCAATTTGCCTCAAGTCTCAAATATTTATCAAATCTGCAGCATTTCAAAAGAATTGAGCAGATTCACTCTCTTTTTTATGACTTATAAAATAGCTTTCATGTATATTTATTAAGGTTTAATTTTTACAAAATTGATATGTCTTTGCAAGCCTTCACTGAATAATCGTGAAAGCTGATCATATATATTGCCACAAAAAATGCATTTGAAAAAGGAAACTTGCACAGTCAACAATATTGGACCAAACTAAAGAATAAAACTTACTAATAAAAAATATTTAATACCAGTCACTGATGACAAAAGTTTCTCTCTCTCTACAAATACCAACTGGTATAAATCTTTAAACTATGGAACAAAACAATTTACTATATTATTATTTTGATTGCAGGTAGTTTTAAAAACCAGTCTGCCAAGAAGTTTTTAGTATATGTGCTGCCGAAGCGAGCACTGACAAGAAGTTTATGCTTAAAAAAAAGTAAGTAAATACTATCTAATTTGCCAAAGTGCAACCAGCGACTGTTTGTTACTTCAGGAACCAAATGTGGAAACCTGAGTTAGTACAGGATTTTGTATTTAGTCTGGTAAACATTTGTTTTACCTGTGGTAAAACACTTTGTACTGTTGCTATTAGCCCTCTGTCTTCTTGTTCTGGGTAGGTCAGAAATCATAGCCATCAGCAGGTTTTTCATCTTATTTATCAACCTCTCGAGAGAGTGCTTGATTCCACCACTTCTGTCATTAGTTTCACGTGCTCTTCTAAACTCCCTTACAAATGCAATTGGGGCCATTTTAATATGAAGTTGAGAAATACCTGATATGTCCCCTTACTTTGTCACAATCCAGAGCAACCAACTATCATTTGACCAGTAAAGCAACACAGTATGTGCAGCAGACTCTAGAGTCAGGTGAATACACCGAATGTGAATGCTGGTCCCCTAACTTACAAACTGCTAGTACTGGGGAAAGTCACCTAAGCTTATGAAGGCCCAGGAGGCAAGTATAAATTGCAAAGAAAACCAGCATCTTCCTTCACCCTTTCACTTTCTATTGCTGTTGTCTGTACAACCTTTGTTAGTCAACTGAATAGGCCACATGCTTGTTTGTTGAGAATATATTGATTGGCCTTTTAATAGAACGAATGTAGTAGACAGACCTAGGCATCAAAATCACATTGAGTTGTTGTATTTTTCAAGGCATCTAAGTTGGAAAAGAATATTGGATTAAGAAGCACAAAAAAATGATACATGAAATGTTTGTACCAATTATATTTATTGCTGGAAACTTTATACTTAAAAAAAAAAAAAAGTTTGGGATGTCCCTGGTGGTCCATTGGTTAAGACTCTGAGCTTCCAATGCAGGGGGCACGGGTTTGATCCCCGGTGGGGGAACTAATCCCACATGCCACATGGTGTGGTCAAAAAATTAAAAAACAAATTTGTTTAATGTTTGAAAAGTAGGTTAACACAGAAAAAGATATTATCCACAAAGGTAAGAAGCAATCCAATCATTTACAAAGTGCTGCAAATCTGATAAATTTTTGTTGCTGATAACTCAAGAGTACTCTTAGATGAAAAAGATATAAATCTGAAATACCCAAGAACAGAACAGAACAGAACTAAATGGCTATAAAAATACCCAAAAGGGAACTCAGTTTTTGGCAACCTGATCATTAAGAGAAGTGAACTTTAAGTAAACTTTCAGTGAACTGCTTTTAAGAGGTCTAGCCAAACATTAGAACCAAGAGTTTTGCCTCTCTGGCTCCCAGAACCTCAGAGCTTGGGAGTTGCAGTGGGTAATCCTGGTTCCCTCTGAGAGGCAGCAGGTCCAGAGAGCTGAGCTACTTCTAATGAACCAAGTGTAACAGTCACTAAGAAGAGAGTGTGTGTGTGCCTACAAATGCATACTAGAGATACAGACCAGAATCAGACCTTTAGAAAGTACTGGAACCCACCTGGATGTGCCTGTCACATGCTACAGCAGTCTGTACACAGGGAGAAGGCCAGTCACCCCTACCATGGCAACTAGAGGGCTCCTCCTCCACATCCATTTGGAATGTCTTTTTTCTAAGAAAAAAATTATGTTTGGCTGTGCCAGGTCTTAACTGTGGCACACGTGATCCTTGATCATCACTGTGGCACGTGGGATCTTTAGCTGCAGCACGCAGGGTCTTCAGCTGTGGCATGTGGGATCTAGTTCCCTGGCCAGGGCTCGAACCCAAGCCCCCTGCGAGTCTTAGCCAGTGGACCACTAGGGAACTCCCCCATTTGGAATGTCTTGATCTTTGGGTCTCTGGCCGTTGGGGCCCTCCCTAGGGGGCTCTCCTGCCAGGCCTGCAGTGCCTTTCTTGCCTTGGCTGGCCTCAGAGGGGCCCACTGGCCAGAGGAATTTGTCAGTGGTGGTGTTGGCAGCAGCAGTGACAACATCTCAGATATAATTGGCAGGGGGCTGCCGGGCACTGAGCCTCTGCATGTGACAGCCGTGGCAGAGCAAGTGGCCATCTAGAGGGAAGCAGCAGCAGCCTTCCTCATCACTCAGCTGCATCCGGCAGTCCTAGGAAAGAAAGACACTAGTTCAGCTCAGCCCGGGCACCCTGGACATCTGGGGAGTCTGCCTTGTGCAGCACTGAACTCCCAGTGACTGGAAGAAAGCAGGTGGGGTTGGAGGGGATGAGCACCCAGAGAAACCTGGGGGCAATACCTCAGCTGGACACCAGGTGTCGCTGCTACAGCAGAAATAATGAGACAGGATCCCATTTCCAGCTGTTACCAGGAGTACCTAGTTTTAAGAGTCTTGATTCTGTTGATGCCTGATTTACAAAGGACTAAAGAACCAGGCCCAGAGAGAGTGGCTGAAGGGTGAGAAAGAGACTGGAGATGGGTCAGAGCACCTTCCCGGTTTCCCACGGCCTATACCTCTCCTACAGACAACGGCAGTTTTCAGACTTCACTCCCCCAGCCCCATTCCAGCTCTGGGTGCCCCGGCCACCAACACTGACCTCGCAGTGGTAGCATTCAAAGTGATAATCTCGGTCCATGGATATCACCCTCACGATGTCCTCACAGCCCTGGAAGAATGCACACCCCCGTGGGCATGAAAGCAGCTTGACAACCCCAGCTTCACCCTCCCCACCTGGCCCCCTCCAAAAAAAGATCACACAGAGGCCTCCAGATCCTCTCTGCCTCCAGCTGTAGCTTTTTTCTTTTTTGGCTGCACTGCTGGGCACATCAAACTTCTCCGACCAGGGATCTATTGCACCTGAGCCCCTTGCAGTGGAAGCTCAGATTCTTAACCACTGGACCACCAAGGACATCATCCTTCAGTAGCTTTGAAATGGCCTTTGCAAACCCTCTGGGAACTTTCCCCCACCCTGTTCTTGGTGCCACCTCCAGAAGGGCAATGTGTCCCCTCTTGGAGCCTCCCTTCTGTTTGGGGGCTCAGACCTTACAGAGAGGAAAGGGGCACACAGCGTAAGTAAGCTAAGCTAGGGACGAGGAGACTCTGCAGGGTCTGGGTCCTCACAGGCTTTTGGCATCTTTCCCGAGGCACACACAGTGTAAATCGTGTCTGACCCCTTCCTAGCAGCCCTGAGAATTCTTCCCACCTTTTCCCAGCCCCTACATCTGGGAGCTGGTGACCTTGACTTCAGAGAAAGTCTCCTTCTCTGGACTGGGAGAAAAGAGATGAAGCCTGGACCCAGCGAGGCTGTTGGACAAGTCCAGGCCCGGATGTTGGGGTCAGGGTGATGACCCAGAGAGCAGAGTCACACGGGAATCTTCGATGAGTGCATTCCTCAGCACCACCGCCTCCCATGGAGGCCAGGCAGCCTGTTCCCCATCCCTCCCCAGAGGCGGCAGCCCTGGCTGCCCTGCAGGAGAACCCAGACACACTGACCTCTGAGGGGAGGATGGGCTGGCCACAGGCTGCGCACTTAGGAGCATAGCTTCTGTAAGGGAGAGGACAGAGATGAGCCGAGGTGGGGGCTCCCTGAGCTGGGTTCCACACCACACCCCGTGGGGCGGACTCACTTGTGGTAGTCGGTGACACAGTACACCTGGTTGGAGAAGTCCACGGTAAAGGGGATGCCGTCCAGGCATTTGTTGCAAACGATGCATCGAAAGCAGCCCGGGTGATAGGACTTTCCCATTGCCTGGAGGATCTGGTTCATGGGGTGGGCGAATCAGTCTCTGCTCTTCAGCTACTGATGACTGCTGCTCCCCCTAACCTCATCCAAGTCCCTGCTCTCCTCCCTCAGCTGTGTGATCCAGGAGGACCAAGCAGTCTTAAAAATGGATGCAGAAACCCTGAAAAACGTCTTAGGGAGCATCCAGACCAGTGTTTCTCAGCTTTGGCTGCATATCAGGATCACACAGGGAGGTTTTTAAGCCCATCCGTGCCTGGGTCCCACCTAGAAGTATTCACCACAGTCTCTGGTGATGACCCAGCCCTGGTATTTTCTTCTCTTCTTCCCAGGTGATCTACTAGGCTGCCAGGGTGGGAACCACCAAGCCAAACCAACTCCTCCTTACAGAAAAGAAAACTGAGCTTCAACTGATCTCAGCCAGGAACAGAAAGGGGATTAAGACTCAGGACCCCACACTCCAGGCTCAGGCAGAGGGCGGGCGGGGCTGTGCCTGCAGTTAGGGAGGGGCTAGATGGCAGGCTGAGTAGTCCAGACTTGATCCCACAAGCAAAGAGAAGCCACTATAAACAGTTGTTTGGGCAAAGAACGGGATGCAAGTGATTGCTGATGTGTTTCTCCCCCCTCTTTTCCTCAGGATCCATTTAGTTCCTGATTCCGCCCCTCGGCCCAGCAGCCTCACAGTCTCAGCTGAAGACACTTTGCTTACCTTCTCCAAAATCAAGTGACCACAGACACAGCATTTCTCAGCTGCCTCCTGAAACCCTGAAAACTGGGAAGAGAAGACCAAGGGAGGAAATTACAGGCTGAGAACAACCTGAGGAGGGGGACCCCAGCAAGCGTGGGAACCAGCTCCAGACCCAGGGGACCGCTCACTCACCAGATAGTCTTCCTCACAGTACACAGAACCATTGACGCTGTAGAAAGCCTTGCAGCGCAGAGTCCGCCCTGGAAGCAGCAGAGAAGACGCTGCAGTCTCGCCGGGGTCCAGCACTGGGCATCCCCGTGGCGGGGTCACTGCTCTCTGATGTTTCATGGTTCACTTAAACCTGGACTTTAGTGCTTGTCCTCCTAACTGCTGTCTGCCCCACTTCCCCACACAAATACTCCATCTGATGCAATTCCCATTTGCTTTGGTCTTATTCCTGCCAATTCCCCTCTCCTTTGCTCACTACTTCTCCGGCTCCCGCCTCCTCACCAGTTTTCTATGCCCCTGCTTTACACGAGTGCCTTCTTCTCCAGTGTCTGGCCTTGCTCGGGAAGCCACCTGGGAAAGCGAAGCCCACCACAGGTTTGGGACAAGGTTCAGGGGCTCTGAACAAGATGCCATACAATGTGTTCAAACGCAATCACACTGTCATGGACTCTGCCCTCTGGGACCTTTCAACCCAGGAGCCTCCACATAGCTCTCCTCTGAGCCCTCTCTGCCTCCCCGGGATAAGCTCCATGGAGGCCAGGACATACTGGAACAACCACTGGGGACAAAGTGCTTTGTTTGGGAGCAAAGTTGGTCCCCTTTCCTGCCACACTAGACTGTTCTGTTTCCCCAATTTTAGAGGGCCCCAGAGTCTCTGGGGTCAGCAGCAGCCCAGGATCTTCTGCAAGCAGACAAAGCTGGACGATTCCCCACGAAACCGACACCAAGGAACTGTCCCAGGGTGTCTAAGTTATCAAGGATCAGGAGCAATGAGACGAGGGCGGAGAATGGGCAAGTTGCCCATATCTGCCCTCCTCTCATCAAAATCTCCACTTCCAGCTCTCCCCAGTGGTTCAGAAAAAGTTGATTTAGAAACTTGTGAGACACAAGGGAGTATAAGGAGGGAAACAGACATTCCCAGAAGAGGCTCTATAAACAGAAGGACAAACAGACAGATGAACCTAAAGGGAGTCAGGCAGAGGCTGGGAGTGGCGCGGAAAGAAAAGCTGAGTGCTGGAGTCAGACAGGCAGAGATAGGAGATTAAAAGGTTCAGCAAAGGAATCAGAGTGGGTACGGGCGGGGGTTGGGGGTGGTAATGAGGGAGGTGAGGGAAGGGCTGGGGAGTTGAAGCCACTGGGAGCACCCCCCTGCAGGCGGGCCTCCTGAGCTAACAGCAGCGGGCATTCCTGGAGCGTGATGTCATCAGCTTGGCATGGCCTGGTGGCCTGCACTCCAGCGAGGTGGCTGAACTCTGACCAGCCAAGAGAAAACCCCCCCTCTCCACCCCCCACAGCTCCCCACTCCCCCAGCCCACCCCACCCTTCCCACATTCCAGTCTTTCACTGTCGCCCCAGGCAACTCGGCTGCCCAAGACCAAGCCCCACCAAGGAGAGGCCAGAGGGCTGGGAGGGAGTCCAGCCTGGGCAAGCAGGAAGGCAGAAGAAAGGAGGAACAGAGCAAAGGAAACAGGCCGAAGAGAGGGAGGGCTGACTCTGGCTAGAAAGCTGACCCGGCGTGCGGCGGGAGAGCCAGGTAGCGCACAGACCAGGGGAAGCAGGAGAGACGGCCAAGGCCAGACCAGCAAATGGAGAGGCACAATTCTGCTCTCCCTGGGCACTCATGCGTGTGTCCGCGCTTGAGGCCTCAGGCCTCGTCCAGAAGGTCTGGGGGCCGCACTCACCACAGGAGCAGCAGACAAAGCACTGGGTGTGATAGAGGCTGTCTAAGGCCTGACAGGCGTTGCTCTGCCCGTAGATGCCTTTGTTGCACTTGATACACGTGCCTGAGAAGAGAGAACAGCTTGTCAGCATCACATCCCACTCCCCCAGCTCAAGCCCAGGCAGTCGCCATCTTTCCTGATGGCAGAAGACCACCAGCCACAAGCTCCGTTTGATGGGCTCCATTCTGGGAAGAACGAGTCAATGGGATGCAGCCAGGGCTTGGCTGGACAGACTTACTCTTGTTGACTGATTAATCAACAGACATTATCTGAACATCCATTTAGCGCCAAGCAAAAACACTGTGCCCAACACTGTGGAAAACTGGAGAAAGTCAAAGGTCCCCGGCTTTCAGATGCTGGTTTCTGTTGGGGAGAAAAGACTAAACAGGCAAGGTCTGATCCCTGGGGCACTGTGTTGACAGAGATGCAAGTTCATAAGGGCCCAGCAGCAGCCTGGAAAAAAATGTCCTAGCGAAAGGAGGCCAGGCCCAGAAAGCCTCTCCAGGACCTCAGTTTCCCCATCTGTAAAACGAACTGCTGTTCAGTTATAGAAAGAGCTCTGCTCCATACCTCTAAGCCTCCAAAGATGGTGAGAAGGATGTGGCTCAGCAGAGGGCCCTGTGCAGACGGACCACGTGAGTGTGACTCCTCTGGGTAGGTGGCTGCTGAGAATGCAGGGTGTGTTCCAAGGACTGAGGGTTGCAGAGGAAGAGGGGGGAAGGGTGGCAGAACCCCTAATATCTCCCTGTCATCTTCTATAATAGAAGAAGCAAAGCCGAACTGCTCTTCCCCAACATCTCCCCTGAGATACATAACACCAGGCTCTGGCACCCGCCTTTCCTGGGTGTGTTCTTCCCTCCTTCCACTCCCCAATTCCAGGCCCATGAGTGAGGGCCAGGGCTTGTCTTTGGGGAGCAGATCCCAACCGGCCCGCCTCACCCCTCACCCCACCCCACCTCTCCCCCTCGGCACACTGCCACACTCCTTGCCTGTTGGGGCCCATCCCAGTCTTTGCCCAGGGGCTTGGGAGCCCGTGCAGCAGCTGCAGCGACTGATGGGCCCAGGCCTGCCCTGCTCCCACCCACCCTCTGGCAGCTGGGCAAGGCTGGAGCCAAGGAAGAGGGCCCCTACTAGGCGCAGGAGTGGGAGGGTAGTTAGGTTGGGGGTTCTGTCAAGAGGAGGCAACCTGACCCCTAGGGAGAGAGGCCCCTCCCCACCCACCCTCTGCAGGGAGGGGAGCTCTCTGCCCCAGTGCCAGGGGGGCCTGTTAGAGCCACTTTTGGGGCAAGCCTTGGACATTATGGGAAGATGAGAGCAAAGTGCTCAGGCACGTCCACCTCACCACCTCTAACCTAGAACATCCACGTCTAAGTTCTTCCTGCCATCTCTCCAGCACTCTCTCCCAGCAACTTTTGGTTCTGATGGCTTAGCTGAGAAGACTTCTGTCCACCCATCAGCGGGTCTCCTGGCCTCAAAAGGAAACTGCTAAAAGGATCCTGTCACCTAGGCTCCCTTGACAAAGGGTTATCTGCTCTGGGCTTTCTCAGGTGGGGGCAAACAGGGAATGATTAGAGTTGAACTACGCAGGGCCCTTTCAGCCTTTAGCCCCTGCAGCTTCTGAACCTCCTCCCAGTCTTCCTTCCCTGGCTGAGTTCCTCTCCTTATTTACATTTCCAGCCAGAGTTCTAGAGCTTGGGGTCTACCACATGAACATGGATGGTGAGAAAGGTGAGAAGACGCTGGGAACACTGAACAGGCTCACAGACCTAGGTGTGAGCCCTCCACTTCTTTCTGTACTTCCTATCGCAACCAGATCAGCATTTTTTAATATAGTGAAGTGTGTCTGTGGGTCTTCGCTAAAAGATCATTCGAGACCGCAATACCTTCCCGTAGCTGGGTCGTACAATAGTTAATATTTCTTGAAGTTAACTGCGTCGGAAGAGAGGCAGAGACCAGGTTTCTTCAGCACCAGAAAAGTAAGGATTCTGAGCAGGTTATGACCAAAACTGATGGTCAGGTTATTTCTGGCAGTTACACACGGTCGTCATCCATCCAGGGCCATCCAGGGGTGATGCCGTCCCGGTGGCCAAGGCTTCTGCCCTGACTTCCGGAGGATGGGAAAAATAGAAGCTGACTCCACTGGGTCTGGACTTAAATGCCCACGCACGCACGCAGCCAGCAGGACTGGGGCCAGCCAGTAGCAGGGTCCCTGCTTTCCGTCCAGCGCTTTCTTCCTCCCCCCAGGCTCCATTTCCCCGACAGCGGCCAGAGCTCCGCGCGTGTTAGGAAGCAGCTCCCCCACCCCCTGCACCCCACCTCCGCCCAGCCTAGCGCGGCCGGCCCCGCCCGCGGGCACCTGGAGCGCCCGGGCAGGAGCCGGCACGCACGCTGCCCGCCCGCCCCGCCCCCCCACCCGCGCATTCCCCGAATTCCTGCGGGAGGAGCCTGGGCCCGGGTGGGGGCGCGGCACGCAGGAGCCTGCAGGGGCACGGCCGTCGAGGGGGTTTGCTCTCACCGCCTCATTTGCCCCCCACCCCCCACAAGGCCTCCTACCGCGAAAATACCCAGGCTCTAAAGCCTGAGAAACTGGGATTCACGAGATCTTCGGGGCGGAGGTGGGGAGGGGGAAGCGGTGAATTTAACAGGAATAAGATGCCCGTGGTCCATTTGAAACCCACTGGGTATGGGAAATTCCTCTTGCTTCTTTCCTAGCCCCGCGTCTCTGCCTCCGACTTCCCAGCGTCAGCCGTCGGGGAAACGGGCAGCCGAATGAGGCGACCGGTGCTTTCCCGACCCTAACCACTTCTCTCACTCACCAAAGTAGTCCTCTCTGGACTCTGGCTCCCGTATCCGGGCCCGGGCGGCCTCTGGAACAAACGCACCCGGCGGCTCCTCGAGACCCGACGTCTCAATCCCCGCGGATTCTCCGCGGACGCCGGCTTCTCGCCCACCTGTGCCCACCGTCAGGCGCAGCAACGCTGTTAGTTCATCCTGGTATCGGGCGCCCGCGGCGCAGTCCCCGTAGCCAGTCACCGAGTGTCGTCCGGGTTGCGCCCCTCTTCTCTCCAAGGGCCCTGTCGCTCCCACTCCGGCCCCTGCTAGAGCTCCCGGGCTGCCCAGGGCCGGGGGATACGAGTGGCGACTTTCCTGGCAGCCGAACCCCGCGGGCCGATGAGCGCACAGTCGGTCCAGGGCAGCGTGGAGCTCGGGGTAGGCGGACGGCACCCCTCCAGAGGAATAGCCCGCCGGAACCCCGGCCAGGGGTGGGCCAAACAGGCATGGCCCGGCAGGCAGGGGGCTGCCGTGGCGCTGGTCGTAGCCCATGCTGATGCCGCTGGTACGGTTGCTGCAGGGTCGGCTACCTCCGGCTCCACCAGCCCCCGCCCCGTCCAGCAGCAGACTGCCCCGGGGACTGGACGGCTTGCTCGCGTCGCTGGCTGAGCTACTGGCGAAACTGGAGCGGGGGCTTAGGGCTGGGGCCGTGGTCTCCAGCCGAAAGTCGGGGGGCAACGACTGAGGTAGAGGCAAGGCCCGGGAGGGAGGCGGTCCCCCCGGAAAGGAGCCTTCGTAGCGCGGCACCTCAAAGGAGCCGCGCGGGTTCCGCTCAGCGTCCAAGGGGCCTTGCTCCCGGGCTGGCTCCAACGGCTCATCCCCAGGTCCCCCAGCAGCTCCACGGGGCCCTGATTTCCTTGGTCCCCCCAGCCCACTCAGGCGCCCCTTGCCCGGCCCGGGGGTCCCATCAGACCCAGACCGGCTAGATTCACCCTTTCTGCGGCCGAACTTCGCGCTGCCTGAGTCCGAGAGTCTTAACTTCTCCAGCAGGCGACTGGCTTTCTCCCCTAAACGCTCCATGCCCTCGGGTCTGGGGCGTCCAGCCCCCTCCCCGCCCGGCACCCTGCAGCGTCTCGGCGGCCGCTTCTCTTTCCCTGCGGCCAGACTCCGGTTCCCGAGGGGCACAGGATAGGCACAGGGGTTTAGCGGGCGGTCCGGATGCCCGGCGCCAAGAATCCCGCAGCATCCCCCAGCGAGAGGGGTTTCGTCCCCCCGCGCATCAGGGGTTAAGCGGGGCTAGAAGGGCCTACGGCCGCAGCTGTCCCGTCCGCAGGTCTATCTGTTCACGCGTAGACTCGCCCGGCAGCCCCCACTCTCCCCGGCCCCCGCCCCCCTCGCTCACACTCAGCACCGACTCAACTTCTCTCCCAAACTTTTGTCTGCCTGGCCGGATCTACTTTCCTGGAGGGCGGAGCGCCGAGCGCGAGAGGAACAGGGGTGTCGGCGCAGGAATCCAGTGCACCGGTAAGGGGGAGGGGGGGGGGCGGGTGCTGGTGCTAAGTGTCCCGGAGCTGGAGATCCGCCGACTGGATGCGAAAGGAGGGCGAGGGCAGTTTAGACAGTTGCTACTCTATCACTCAAGAATTAGGACAGGAAAAAGTGGGGGAGGGGCGGGGAACTCTTTGTTCGCAGTTGGAATGCGCGGAGGGGCACGGTGGAATGTCGCGATGCGAGACCGGGCGACGCGAGGCTTGTTCTGCGCAAACACCGTGACTTTGTTCCTCGTGTGGGCACTGTGGGAGATCAGCAGGGAGTGATGCAGAAGTACTGTCATGAGACAGAGGGAGGGAAGAAAGGCAGACACAGAGAGAGGTTCAGAGACGCGAGACGCGTAAGAGCCCAGGAAAGCGAGGAAGCTTTTATAGAGAGGTGGTGGAAGACAGGTGTGGAGAGGAGAGAACGACCGAAGGGGATCGTGAGTGGTGCGGGGATCGAAGGCTGGATAGACCTAGAAGGTGACAAATTAGCGCAAATCCAGGGAGAATGAGAGAAAAACAGATAAGCTGAGATAAAAAGACAACTCTCTGAACCTAGAACTCTGTAATGGGTGGGAGGGAGCTTTAGTGTGTGAAAAAGGAGAGGAAAAGGCTGGAGACTAATCTCTACCTTCGGGGTAGGACTGATAGAAGGATAGATAGACACCCCCTGGTGTTGGGAAATGAGATTTTTAGCAAATATAGCAAGTGAGTGGGGATAGAAGGCCTGGTTTGAGGTTTAGCAAACACCCTTGGTTGACCCATAGGAGACTGGTGATCAACAGTAAGTACTAACCTAAGGGGAAGAAGAAAAAAAAGTTATTTAGAGGCGACAGCAAGTGAAAGTGATCAAGGTGGAAAAGGAAAAGAAGCTGTTCTTGGAGGATCAAGAATAAGGAAAAGAGGAAGCCATGGCTGAAGCTGAATACACCTAATTAAATATCAGCCAACTGATTTTGCCCAGACTAGCACATGGGGCGTGGGGGAGGGGAACTGAGAAAGAAATGACTCCTTTGTATTTAGGTAGTAAATTAGTATGAAAATGATATGCAAACAAATCATGCATATATTTTCATCTCAACATTTTGAACACCTTTTATAATCTTAGTGTAGCCTTAGGGAATGGAGAAAGAAAGGAGGTTAATATCTTTGGGGAAATCAATTTGGCACAAACTATTAGGCTTCTTTGTCCTAGCTGTATTGGCTCCCTGACCTCATCTCCCCTGAGAATCAACGTGTTTCCCAGGTCAGGCCTACAGCTTTTCTCTCATCCAGAGGAGAGTTTGATCTCAGACTGGAAGCAGGTTGCCTCCAGAACCTGCCGTGAGCTACGTCTTCAGGATCAACCATAAGCTTCTCCCTCCTCTCCTGTCTCCACATGGGGAAGGAGAACCTGGATTCTTCCTTCCAATTACTTACATCCTCCAATATTTGGGAACTTCTCTCCTCTGGGGTTAGAATGGGAGAGTAAGTCTTATGAAAAGTTTTGATGCCATTAAAGGAGCCCCATCCAGGAGTTGGTGGTGCAGAAATGGGCAGAGTTGGGATCAACAACCTGTGTTTTCAGGGGATAACAGAAAGCAGACAGATGAGGGGAGGGTGTGGCATGCTGACAGGGTATGCTCCAGCAGTGCTCATGACCTTGGAGTAGACCCTCCATAGTCCGAACTGGAGCTAGGAGCTCCACAGGCCCTACTGTCCATCCCCTTAATTAAGCTCTATAGACACTGGTGATTCCCAGATCCATCTCTCTAGCCGAGACCTTCTTGGACTTAAAAAACTCAGCTGACGACTAGCATCTTTACTTGGTTGTCTCAAAGGCGCACAACACTCTAAACTGACCTCACCTTCCCTGCCTCCCAAAACTGGCTCCTCCAGCATTTCCTGAGTGAATGATACCATTTTTTTAACCACTTAGCTACTTACGCCAGAAACCTGAACATCAACCTTACGTCCTCCTTCCTTAACCTCAAATCCAACTGAATCCTATCACCATCTATCAATTCTGCTTCTGAAATAGCTTTCAAATCTGTCCTTCCCTCATCACTACTATATGTATATGTCCTATATCTCAGGCCATCTTTTCTCTCCTGGACCACTGCAAGTGTCTCCCTGCCTAGGCTTTCTCTCCTTCCCATCCATCATATACACTGAAGTGAAATGATTCTTCAGAAACACAAAACTGATCATCTTATTTCCCTGTTAAAAACTTGTCAACGAGGGACTTCACTGACAGTGGTTAAGACTCCATGCTCTCACTGCTGAGGGCCCAGTTTCCATCCCTGGTTGGGGGAGGTTAAAATCCTGTAAGCCCCGTGGCATAGCCAAAAAATACATTTTACAGAGTGTCTTACCCCTCCAGCCTCTTCTCTCGGCATCATCCCCTCCCCAAATGGTTCTGCAGCAGAACTGCACGCTGTCTGTGCTCTCTTGCCTCTGGACTTCTGTACTTGCTGTTTTCCCTAGGGCTGGAACACTCTCTGCCTCCTCTTCCTTCCTGGTTAACTCCTCCTCCTCTTCCAAGCATCCATCTAAGCACTCCTCTGAGAAGCCTTTCCAGGCCACCAGAGCAAGTTAGCTATCCCTGTGGTACACAGCCATGGCACACACACGCTCCCCGCCCCCCCCAATCACACTTATCACAGTTCATTTCATTGCCTACTTAAATGCCTGGTTTCCTGACTAGATGATAAAACTTCTGCTCAGCATCTAGCCTGTTCAACAGAGTATCCACAGCACCTAGCACAGTACCTGACACCTAGTAAGCAGTCAATATGTTATATGACTGACTGAACAAAGAGAAAGCTATGTTTACTTCTCAGTCTATCCAAAAATGCACACATTCTCTGTGTGTGTATGTTCTGAATTTGTGCTTATGCATACACAAACACACATACACCTTCCTCAAAATACAGTTTGGCTGACAGAACTAAGAGATAACTACCATGACCGCATATACTGCTTGGTCACACGGTGGGAAAGAAGCTGCTGGTGAGACAGAAGAATTCTTTAAGCCTTAATTTCCTCATGTATAAGTCAGGAATAATAAATGCTTCCTTATATAACTGAATAAACAATAGCTATTACTTCTAGATCCCAACTCCAATTAGGTACCGAGCTTGTGCTCTGCTCAGAAGCATCAAGTCCGTGACTGAAACTGTCCACCAGGTGGGAGTGTTACCCTGGCCTGCTGCTGCGCTGCTTCCACTGCAGAGCCAGACCAGCAATCCGGGGAAGTCGAAGCTACCACCAGGGCCACTTCCCCAGAGCTTTGAGTGAAACTAGCAGAAAAAAACAACTCAGAGACCAGGGCACATGTCAAGAAGGCCTGTTTCTTTGACCCATACTCCTCCTTTTCTCATCCTAGGCTCCTCCGAGGCACTGTTTATGCTTAGGAATAAGCATTTTCGGGCTTGCCATTCACAGTTGGGGTGTTTTTCCCCCATGAAAATAAGTCCTTTTATCCCACCAGAGCCGCTAGCTTCCACTTCCAGCGGAAACTGTGTTAAGAGAGGCGGGTTTGCTTCTTCAGACTGTAGAAGACATCTCGTTATTTTGGGAAGCCCTGTGGCCACCCCTTTCAGGAACATGGGGAGTGGCAGATGCCAGAGTTATTCTTGCTTTTAGATCTCACTCATCCTTTTCCACCTTGATTTCAATGAATGAGTTCAAGTCAGGACAGCAGGTTTTGTGGGCTTGGTCAAAAGATGGGGAGACGGGGCCATTCTCATCACCTCCCTCATCCTCCTCTTCTTGGAAATTAGGATTATAAAGTTCTGGTGGAAGAAGCTGGGCCTCAGCAGAAGGCAAACGGTCTGAGGGAGGCCCATATACACGGTTGGCTTTGGTGCCATGCTTAGAGTTGGCATCCAGGTGATAGCAGAGCTGCGTGAGGCGCTGGGCCCGGAAACGGGGAGGCCGGGCCACCCAGACACCTGGCTCATTAAGACTGTCCTCTTCATCTGACATCAGCTCCTCTGTCACATCCTTCCATAGACGTTGGTCCTCAGGGCCAAAATGCCTCATGATGCTGGATCGGTTGGCAAAAAGCTAAGGTAGGAGCCCAGGACAGAGATTAGGAAGAGCAACACACCACGCATTAGGTCTGGGGAAAGGGTTTGGGTAGGAGGAAAGCTGTGAAAAAGCTGTGCCTGAGAGAACCAAGTTCTCAAGAGAACCCAAATCAGATCTTAGAATTGGCTCCTGTCTTCCTTCTCCTCCACTCAGTCCTGTTCTCAGAGGCCACACCCTCCCACTGTGGCTTATTAGGGTTTAGAGTTTAGCATCTTTTCTGAAAGGAAAGCCTAGAAACCTACCCGGTATCTGCGACTTCGAAGTTTCTTCTCCTCTTTCTCCTTCAGGCCTTTAAAGGGGTTTAAGGAGTTGCGATACTCACGCCTCTTAGTCAGGAAGTAGGCTACACAGGCTCCTGGTGGGGAGGGAGAAGGGAGGCAGCAGAAAGCAGGGGTCCTCAGCCCCTTTTATTTTTGCCGTAACACTACCAGATGGAAGAGGGGAGAACCACTTTTACACGATGGGCTTTCTGGGCATATCCATCAGCATCTATTCATTCCTCTCTGGTGTAGCTCTCTCTGCCCCTCTGCATCTCTAAAAAGACAACTCTGATGCTTCTGCAACTCCCCTCCCCCAACCGCAGTCAAACCTACCCCATTCTACTCAGCTGACAGCAGATCATAAGTACTTTTTCAGCAGACACTTTCTTAATGCTACAGACAAATAACAGAAGAGCACAAGAAGTAGGAAACCCAGGACGTGGTATGTAGGGACAAAAGGGGAGGCCTGAATTCTAACCTCCTTTTCATAACACCCGAGACTCAGGCTCTATATAAGCATCATGCATGATGGTGTTCTAGCCCCTTCCTTCTCCCATTTTCATTTCAGACTGAGTAGGGGAATAAAAAGACAATCCTAGGTGAAAAAATAGCCCAAACCAATTTTTTAAGTCCACTATTTTCAAAACCACCTAAATCAGAAATCTCCATAGGCGTCTTCTCTGCTCAGGAACAGGGGATGAAGAAAGGCTGGGGTGCAAGTTAACTCGGTCTTTCTCACCTTTCAGCTCCTTGTCAGTGTAATTGTGGGGACTTGTTACCAGCTCTTGCTTGAGCTTTTCCAGAAGGAACTTCACTACGGAAATATTCCAAGAGGATTTGATGCTGCCACAAGAGAAGAAAGTAAATAAGACAGTCAGCATTTTAAAAGCTAGACAGAGATTCCTAGCACTAATCAGCTTTGTGGGAAAGCCCTCCATGGCCTAAGACACGACACAAAGGGAATGGTGAGGTGGAAGCCCTAGCTTAGCTATTATATTGGAGCAGCCCCCCTCTGCTTCCCTTTCCTTGGCGAATTTCCTTATGATCTTTTCCCTCAAAAGGATCATACCTTTCAGACCCATTGAATCTCTTGTCATTGGTGATGTGGTTATGCACATTATGGACCAATTTCTAGGGGAAACAAACAAAACACAGAATCAAGCCAGGAACAAATATGAAACCCTTCTCTGGTCCCTATGGGGTTTTCTGCATGAATCTTGCCCATGGCCTAGGTACCATTTTCTGTTGATGCCCTTTTTTAGCCAGAGAGCCTACCCATGTTAGTGTCTCTAATGGACACCCCCCAACAAACTTTTTTTTCCTTTTCACTTAATTTGTGTGGAGCCTTCAGAATTATTCTGGGTCTTGCTCTTGCTCTCAGGGACTGTGGTCACTAGAACACAGGTTTTCAAACATTTCCACAAACATAGTAAGGAGAAAGCAAATATACAACAGGGCTACTTCAAGTAGACACATTTCTCGAAGCCCCTTTAGTCAGTCAGTAGCTCAGTCATGTCTGATTCTTTGTAACCCCATGGACTGTAGCTTGCCAGACTCCTCTGTCTGTGGGATTCTCCAGGCAAGAATACTGGAGTGGTTTGCCATTTCCTACTCCAGGGGATCTTCCTGATCTAGGGATCAAACCCGTGTCTCTTGCATGCATCTCCTGCATTGAAACCCCTTACTCTTGTAAATTAAAAAAAAATTTTGGTAATGTATGTGTATTTCTCTTAACATAAAAATGTCTTCCAAAATCTTCCAGTAAAACTGGTGACCCAGGAAAATGTCCCAGGTATATGCCTTTGCACATTACCAACAAATCCCAGGGGTTCTAATATCATGGTCCAAAAAACACAAACCTGAAATAACAGAAATGTGAAATGAAAGGGAACTTGGAGGCACTGTCACCCAACCACCCGTTTTCATCATTAAACAGGCTATCTTTCAGCTTTGCTTATATACCTTTAATGAGGGGCTTTCACTAGTTTTTGTCTCAGCTACTATGAACATCTCTAATTGTTAAAAAAAAAAAAAAAAAAATTTGCCTTAGATACTCCAAAATCAGACCCCAGTTTTGCCCTAATAGCACCTGAAGTATGAAGACAGCTTCCATGTTCTTCAGAGGTCTTCTCTTATCTGGTCTAAACACCAAGTCCTTCAACCAGTCTTCATGACATAGTTGCCAGACAGACTTCTCATGAAACTATGACGCTCTGGTTTGCCACTGTTCCTCTTACAACATGGCACCTGGAACTGAATCTAACTCACCCGTTGAGGTCTGGCCAAAGGGAGTATTACTTCCCTGAGTAAAACTTTATACTTCTAGGAATGAAACCCAAGATGCTGTTACCTTTCTTAGCAACCCCATCCCTACTCAGTGTCACAGGGTTCATTCATAGTAAGCCTGTAGTCAGCTCAAGTCCATTTTTCACACAGATTACTATTTCCACCCTTCTGCAACTGTTTTTTGTTTGTTTGTTTTTTACTTTAATGCAGGATTTTACATTTCTTCCTATTAAATTTAGTTTTGCTGTTTCTGATTATATTTTCATCCCAAGGTCCTTTAGTCAATGGAAATTACCCAGTCCCAAACTGATGGGATGCTGATCTCAGGATTTCAGCTTCGTATTCAGAAATGCCCAATTTCGCTTCTTACTCCTATGACTGACTGACCATATCAACTTAGGAAATTACTGTTAACTTTATGACTAGGTTCTCCACTCCATAAAAAAAAGAGTTGTACTAGCTTCATATCTGATATAGTTATTTTACCTTTTAGAAGTCCAAACTTGAGAAATCACAAGGGGATGGGTGAATGCTTCAGAAAGAATTTGAAAGAGTTGCAAAAAAAGAAAAAAGATGGGGGAGGAGTTGCATAGCTTTCCAATTCAATTGACTTGGAAGAGATCAGCTGATAAAAATCAAACCAAGCTTGAAGTGAAAAGGGAAAATACTCTAGCCAATAATAAGTGTTAAGACTAAAGAATGCTGGCTCACTTGCCTCCTGAGCAAGCTAAAAATAAATAATTTCCCCAATGGGTGGCTGGATCTGCAGCAGTCCAAGGAATTAAGGTTCTGATTTGGGCCTTTTGGATCCCTGGCAGAGCAGCAACCTACAGCAGCCTCAACAGATTGGAGAGATGACTCTGGGATTCCTTCCCAGAGCTACAGGTTGGAACAGTGAAGATCTGCAACCATCCCTCTCCCTCTGAACCCACAGACTCACACAAGAGCATTTTATATCTTTCTCTGTGATGGGAAGCAAGACTCCCTGACTGGTCCACTTGCCCATCTTCACATCCTACAACACCGATGGCTGAGCATGCTTCCCAGAAGGCACTGTGCCAAGCTCTCCAAAGGGCAGGAAGAAGTCCAGCCTCACCACTAGACCTCTCACTGTAGGCAGTATGCACAAGAGGAATTGAACTGACCAAAAAAATCCTGATTTTATGCAAACTGTAATTATCACACATATATTCTGATTTAAACACTAAGAATTTGGGGGAATTCTCTTGAAATGTACTTCTAGGTATAAGCCTCCATTTCTGTCACTGGCAACAACAGTGTCTTGTTGGACTAGAAATCAATGACAGAGAAACTAAACCTACTCCCCATTCTTGATGAGTGACATGTCATTGAACGTAACCAAAATCTGAAATAAAGGTTAGAAATCAGTTGATATTGATTATGAATGGTGTCTTCTGGAAGGGGGAAGAAAAGAATCTATCAACGTTAAAAACAAATGAAAGAGAGAGTAAGAGTAGGATCTCTTAGAAAAAAGGAGAAAGAAGTAATATAAATAAAGGAGGTATAAATGGTAGTCAGCCACTTTCAATCTTTACTAAGGCTGTAACAAGGAGAAATGGGTTCTATACTCTGCTGAGATTTCACTGGATGTCAGTGGTGACCACCACCCTTGACCAGAACTCTCAGGTTACCTCATATGCTATTATCCAGAGACTGGAGACCCATTACAGTCTCCATTAGAAAGATGTCTTGGATGACAGAGCTGATCCAAAGGTCTGTGGTCACCCTAAAACAGGGTTTCTCAACCTTGACTCTAATGACGCTGGGTAACGGGTGGGGGTAGGGTCAGGGGATCCTGTAGACTGTAGGATGTTTAGGGATGCACTAGGGCTCCAAGCCACCCACTCCAGTGTTCTTGCCTGGAGAATCCCAGGGACAGGGAGCCTGGTGGGCTGCCGTCTATGGGGTCGCACAGAGTCGGACACAACTGAAGCGACTTAGCAGCAGCAGGGCTCCAAGCCACTGTAAGGTTTCAGGCAGAACTGATTCAGGCCAGTACCTTCCCTTCCAAGAGCTCTGAGAGTCACCAGAATCTTCTAACCTTTATCCCTGAGCTGAGTGTCTAGTGGTCCTCTGCATCTTTGGGGTATGGGACCACTTCAGGACACCTTGGCCTTTCTGCCCAAGGAGCCCCTTGCTGCTTGCCTTGAACACTGGTTATCTGCAGGCAGTTTCTAGTGCTATCCTGCTGCAGTCAATCTGCTGAACCCCATAAAGATCTTCCCATCAGAATTATGAGATCACCAGGAGACATGACATAATTCCCTTATCTTTAAATGGAAGATATATCAATCTATCCGGAAGAGCCTAAACAAGTTCCACTGATAGCAAGGGGCTGGTCTGTCCCTGGGCTAGGGAACAGTCTGTCTCCTTGCCCTTCCCACTCCAGCAGGCTTCAGGATACCATTCATTCCACATGGGACAGTTTAAAGTCAACTCACATTTCACTCTTCACTTATCTCTCCAGACGGAAAAAAAAATGTATAGAAATTGAGCTCACTCACAGAGAGGACCAGGTCCCGCTTGCGCCTGGAGTTCTTCTGCCCACTTCCTCTGGTCCTGCACGGGGAAGAAGTGAACCCTAGAGACTGTCTCAGCTCCCCAGTTCCCCCAGGGCCTGACTCTTCCAAACTCCCTTCCAGGGCGGCAGCAGCACTGAGCATGTCCTCAGGGCGGGGTGGCTGTAGCTTGGTTCCATTTTCTGGCCCGGTCTCTGAGGTTGCCCGCTGGATCGCCAGTTGTGTGACTGGTGAAAGCTGCTTGGCATAAGCAGGCACCAGCACCCGCTGCACTGCACCTTCAGAGGCCACATAATCGTCCACCAGCTAAGAACATACAAAAAAAAAACACCCCTATTAGCCAGCCAGGCTTGTGGGAACCTGGTCAACCATCATTCACTGGTAAGTATGATGAGCAGGGAGTGGGGAACAGGGGGGAATCTAACCCAGTCTTCAGTGGCTCATGGCGTGTGTCTCTGGGACTCCGGTGGGAACGTGGGGCAAATATTTCTTGCAGGTACAGGCCTCTTGGGCTTCCCTGGCGGCTCAGACAGTAAAGAATCTGCCTGCAATGCAGGAGACCTCAGTTCCATCCTTGGGTTGGGAAGATCCTCTGGAGAAGGCAATGGCTACCCACTCCAGTATTCTTGCCTGGGAAATCCCATGGACAGAGGAGCCTGGCAGGCTAGAATCCATGGGGTCACAAAGAGTCAGACACAACTGGGCAACTTTCACTCAATGGGTCCTCTCATCTTGGGTCATTACCACAGGACTGAGTGTAAGGACAAGGCAGGTTTCTGATGCTCTATTTGTGAGTAGTCATTTATGCTTTGCACCTGAGTATAGGTAAGGTAGCTAGGTAAGTGTTTTGCTTGAAAGGGATTGAGGGAGAGAGAGATGATAAGAAAACCAAGCAAGAGAAGGAGTGAGAAAATAACAAGAAGAAGGAGAAATAGAAAAATGGGAGCAAAGGAGGGAGATATAAAGTCAGAAACCTCTAGAGAGGCTGGCACTGCCTTCCCCCTCCCCACGCCCTGCCCTCTTCCCTTTGTGGGGCCAGCGGGTGCCCTCACCTTGATCCTGCCCTGGCTACATCCGACAGTCGCTGCCCTGACATCGGCTTGCCTGCCTGCGCCCTCACTCAAGGACACACAGGGTAAGAGAAGGAAGGAGGAGGAAGGGAGAGGGAGAGGAGAAGAAAGGAGGGGGATTTCTGCAGCCAGGAAAACAAAACAGTGAAAGTGGGGGGGGGGGACGACACAGAAAGAAGCGGGGGAGGAGGCTGAGATTTATAGACCTGTGAGCTGCTTTCTGTGCTGTGAAATCTAATTCCATCCTGTCGGCTTGGAAGCCTTCCCTGCCAGAAAGAACCACAGCTCAGGGCACTGCCGGGCCTGGTGCCTCCCTGCCTCCTCCCACCTTCCCAGCAGCTCCTCCGACAGCCCCAAACCAAGGATAGTGCCTGGGGGCAGACTGGGCCGAGTCTCGGGGCCATCACCCACCCGTGCGGCTAGGCCTTGGTGGGGCAGTGCCCGGTTGCAGTATGACCCTGGAGGTGGCCTTCATTCCTCAGGTCCAGCAGACGGGCTCAGAGTCTCAGGCCCCCCCCCACCCCCACCGTTCTGCTGCTCTCTCTACTCTTGCCTGGGTGTCGGCCTTGTCGTGGGGGGTGGAGGAAAAGACAGAGGGCAGAGGGAGGACGCCGTGGAGGAGAGGGTGGATGGGAGCTGACAGACCTCCCACTGTCTCTCAAGTGGCAACACATCTGTTAGCTTCACATCTCTGAGATCTCTAGACTTGCTCCATCTCCTTTCCAGACTTCCATGTGACATTCTTCAGTTTTTACTCTCAGCCAGGATTTTCCTGCTCATATGGCCCTGAGCAGTAAAGAAGCTGAAATATCAGTGTATTTCTATGTCTTTTCTGGCTCACAAAACAGGCCCGTTGGCTTCCCTCTTCCTCCGTACGTGTTATTATCCTCTTAGGTAAACTCTCAACTGCCCATTTTTCCTCATTTTATTTCCTTTCCTCTACTTCCCTCCTGCCTCACCTCATATTCTCTCCCTTGCATCAATTCTTCTTCCACTTAGGTTCAGCTTTCACCTCTGCTTTTTCTCCACTTTTTCTCCTTTCTGAACCCTTCATTTCCAATGGCCTCTTTCCCCTTTTGCACCTGTCGGCTACTAGCTTTGCCCTTTCCCTCCCTCATTCCCTGCTCTCCCTCCCCATCTCTGCCTCTCTCCCCTCACATCCCCATCTCTCTCCTAGTCCTGAATTCCTCTTGGCAAGCAGAGGGCCCGTGATCAAATATGAATGAGTCGTCTGTGCATGGCAGGCATCCTCGCCAGGAGAGGCAGAGCCCATGGAGCCATCAGGCAGTTGCGGAGAAGGTGCCACGCGGCGCGACAGAGCGGGAGGGAGGGCAGGGCAGCCCCGCCACTCGTGCCAGCAATGACCTTCCACCAGAAAGGCCACGGGCTCAGAAAAACACAGGAGGGCTGACTCTCCCTGACGACAAAGGAGACTGGGTACCCTGCTGTTGCATCACTGATACCACCAAAAGAAAGGCTGAAGGGTGGAGAGAAGACAGAGAAAGAGAGGAAGGCCAGGAAGGGCACAGGGGAGCAGCTCGGCTCCTGTCCTGTGCTGTGTACTCACGGGGTTGAGCATCGGGGGCCCTTCGCCCGCAGTCAGGGCGCATCCCGGGAGCCGCACATCTCTCTGAGCTGCCGGGAAGCCCAAGGGTCCGGGCCCCCCCGCCGAGGCCGCTCCCAGCTGCCGCAGCTCCTCGATCACCACCTGCACGCCACTGCCCACACTGTCACACTCCTCCTCCGCAGCCGGCACGGCCCTGCCAGCCTCCCCGGGGCTCTCCTTGAGGGGCCCGGGCTCCTCCAGCGGGGAGCTGTGTGCCCGACTCTCCCTGTCTTCATCCGTGGCCGGTACCTTCCCTTGCCTCAGCTCACCCACTTCCTCCTGGAGTCGTTTTAACAATTCGTTGTTGGCCCTGGCGAGACCCAGCGCCGCCTCGGCCAGACCCACGGCCTTATCCACCCGCTGGTAGATGATATGCAGGAGCTGCTCGGAGCTCTGGACAGCCAGGCCGTGTCCCGTCACCGTGATCGGGGTGCTGGGAGGAGGGTTCCCGCCCTGACAGCCTGAGCTGGCCCCACTTGTCTCGTTCTTACACGCACAGCAGCAGCATCTGGCCTCGCTGCCACTGGGAGGGGAGAAGAGGATGGTGGCGCTGAAGGACATGGCTGTCGAGGCGGGAAAGGCGGTGCTCACGCTGCTGGACTGCTCCAGAAGTGTCCCCAGCCGACCGGACCGCAGGAAGCGCTGGCCTCTCTGGATTCACTTTCCTTCCTCATGGAGGGTGGTCAGAGGAGCCTGGGCACCCGGGGTTGCGTTCTCTGGAGCAGTGGGCTAGCCGTGAAGGCGCACACAGTCCATGGCTGCCTCTTCTCGTCCTGCAGAGTGCAGAGGGCCTTCTCTGTGCAGATCCCGGGCTGCCCTAGTCCCACACACTGGGGGGTCACCCTCACCCCTTCCCCATAGGGTGGGCCTACGAAGGCCTTCCCGAGGAACTCGGTTTCAGAGGGTGGAAGGCATGAAACCCCCCACCACTCCAAAACTAAGGAAGGGAGAGGGGACTCTACAGGACCCACGGGCATCTGGAAAGATTAGAAGATTAAGGAAGAAAATGTAGATCTGTCTTCTCCGCCTCTCTATCTTGGCTGTAATAACAGTATTGCATTTTATTGCTTTGACATCATTCCTTAAGGAGTTCAGAACACTTCACATAGGTTAATCTCATTCACACTACAGCTCTAGGAAACACATATTAACCCAGGGCCAGAGAAGAGACATGCAGAAAACTTATATATCTTTTTCAAGGTCAGGGGAAGACAGCAGAAACCAGTTATTGCTACTTTCAATCTAGTGTGCATGTGATTTTTTTCTTAAACTGATACCACTTTTTGTTGACATAAAGAATCATGATTCTACGATCTCTATAATTTGCATACAGATGCATTCAGAATAATACTCCTAAATAAGGAGGAGGCCAATCAATGCAGCCTCCAAGACGCTGCCAACCTCACACTATTATATCATTAATGCTTTGGGGATGGGCAGGGAAATGAAAGGAAAACCTGGATGGGAGAATTGAGCTTCCCTAACCAGGGCTGCAGAGACCCCTACCTTCACACTTTGTACACCTGGGCCTCCGGCCTCTGCAACAGAAGCTAACTGTTCTGAATGCTCCAGCTGGAAGCCCAGAAAAATCACCTCCAGGGCCCCTCATCTCCGCTCCTCATGCTGCTTAAGGGAGCGGCAGAGCTGAACAGGAGTTTCTAAGTAGCCCCATGCTGCCACTCTGCCCACACAACCAGCCCCCAAAAAGAGAGATCAGAATATCAATGATAAACCAAACTGCCTCTCCTCTGAATCACTGTAGTTAAGCGCCTAAACTACTCCAGGAGAAAAAGAAGAAAAAAAGTGTGGGAGGGTTTGTACCACTGAGAACACTCCAAGGAACTTCATATTGTCATTTTCTAAATGACACTTGATTATAGAAAAAAAGAATCTTTCTGCCTGAAGCTCCCTAAGTGACAAAATCTTATGTTTACAATTTCCTCAAGAGATACGTTTCTATCTTACCCTGTAAATTATATCATAACACCACAATTAAAAGGAGAGGAGGAGGTTAGGAGAATTTTCCACATACAGAAATTTGGGGTTTTATTTTTTTTGAATCAGCAATCTCATTTCAGAAACAGGCAATATCAATGCCTCTGAGGTACTAAAATGTAAATCTGACAATGCATTTTAATTACATTTGGTTATTAAAGAATAGTCTTTAATTTGCTCTTTCTACCCTTTATATCGAAGAAATGCTTTTCTGTTCTAGATATTCACTTCTTGAAATAACGTAACTCAAATCCATTTACTGCTTCTCTGTCATTAGAGTCACTGGAAAGCAGAGCTAAACCTAAAAATCTAAAGGTTAAAGTCAAATTAAAACTAAAGGTTAAAGGAAAGCACTAAGCAATTCCCAAGTGAATTATAAATGAATCATTAATAAATCCTTTTCCTTCCTAAATAAGGGCCTACATGCTCCTGTGGGGTTTTAACTTTTTTAAAACCAACATCATGCAAAGAGTTTAACCTGAAACATGGATGCTGTTAAGAAAAAGAAAGTTACGTAAATGATAATATACAAATGATCGCCCACTTGGGTTTAGGACTTGTACAGTAAGAAATTAAGACCTGCCACTTATGTACTATTTTACATCAACTATAATTCAGTTACAAAAAAATTTGGGGGCAGCACCACTCGGTTTATGGGATTTTAGTTACCCAACCAGGGATTGAACCCAGGCCCTGGGCAGAGACAGCACATAGAGTCATTATCACTGGACCACCAGGGAATATACCCCCCAAAATTGAATAAATCAGTAATATATAAAATAAGCTATAAGGATATGTGTGTATGTGCGTACTCAGTCATGTCCAACTCTTTGAAACTCCATGGACTATGCCAGGCTCCGCTGTCCTTGAAATTTTCCAGGCAAAAATACTGGACTGGGCTGCCATTTCCTACTCCAGGGGATCTTCCTGACCCAGGGATCGAATCCGAGTCTCCTACATTGGCAGGCAGATTCTTTACCACTGTGGGACCTGAGAAACTTAAGCTACAAGAATATACTTTACAATACAGGGAATGTAGCTACAACTATTGGAGTACAACTTTTAAAAACCGTGTACCACTGTATTATATACTTGTAACCTATGATATTGTACATCAGATAAACCTCAATTTTAAAAAAAAATTTAAAAAACTAAGGTGCATCACGTTGGGACCAACAGTAGGTATCCTTCCTGGGATCAAACTGACAACTGCTACACTCTTGCCCCAGATACCCTTTCTTGCAGGAGGCCTTCTCCCCTGCTGGCCTTGTACCTGCCTCAAGCCTTTCTGTCCCCTTAAATGGTCTTTCTTAGGTCAGCTTCCCAAAACAGCACTGAGATGGGAGTAATAAATAAGTAAATGAAATAAAAAATAGGGTTCTCATCATGCAGCACCACTTAAGGGCTATTTGAACTTGGGCCTCAGTGTCCTCTGGGGCTATCTACCTCCTCTCTGCCCACTTCGAGTGTTTTTGTGAAGATTATTTATAATATATATAAAGGCACCAACAGAGTGCTGGCACATAGTCAGTGCTCCACACATAACAGCTGGATTCCTGAAACGTATTGTGTTCCTATCCTGAATATCCATGCTGATGTCCTCATTTTGGGGAAAAAAAAAAGGCAATGGCTTGAGATAGAATTTGGGGAGCTTCCCCTCTAAATTCAATATCAAAGTTGTAAGAAATGAATTCAAGTCTACAAAGATGCCTTTATCAGTACAAAACCTTTTATGATGCAAATTAGAAAGGTAATTGAGAAAGCAGTATTTATAACTACTTGCTATCATGAACTGGCTTTAGACTAAAGATACTGTTCAAATTTACTCATTTTTAATTTTGTTTATTTATTTATTTGACTGTGCTACATATAAGATCTTAGTTCCCCAACCACAGATGGAACCTGTGCCCCCTGCAGTGGAGACTCGGAGTCCTAACCACTGGACCACCAGGGAATTCCCAACTCTGCTCGTTTTTAATGCTAAATATATTTTCATATTTGTGTTGACATAAAATATCATACTAACCTGCTCTACAATTCTGTGCCTCAGTTTCTTTCTGCTTTTCAACTTTGGGTATAACCTAACTTTATCCATTTTAGAATGCCACATTTAGGGCAACAAATACGTGTTTTCTTGAATTAATCTGTCTATAAAACCTGGTACAGTGCAGTGTAGCACAGCGGGCATTCAAATAACTCTTTTGGGGTATCTATGGACATCATTTCTGATTTAGTTTCCCTGGGTCCTGCTAGAGTCTCTCACATAACGCCTAAGACCCTGAATAAAAAGATAAGGAAACTGGGGTTGGCAGGTATTAAAGGAAGATTTCACAATTATATTTACTAACCAGATAACAATTTAAAATGCTAGTATCAATAGCTACATGTATCTTCATTAGTTATATATATTTAAAAAAAAAGTGTTTCTAAAAATTCTGTCTATATAAGGCCATGCTAAAAGATGAGTCACCAAAATGGATTGCCACCTCCAAGTACTCAAGTGAAAGGAAGATAAAGTCCCTCCACGCAAGGAGCTTACAGCGCATATAAGAACAAAAGTCTAAAGAACAAAGCAAAATATACACAAGTGGCTAAAAATATAGTACAGAATAGACATATCTTGAGTTAGTTCAAAATTATAGAAAGATCAACAGAATGAAACCATGTGAGAAAGGGGTCTTATCAAAGAAAAGTCTCCAACTGAGACCTGAGCAGGTATAGGATGAACTGGTACGGTGGTAAGAAGACAAGGTGAGAGGAAAAAAACAAACATTACAGCATTTACAGGGTCCATGTGAGAGGTCAGAGCAAAAGGGCTTATATACAAAGTACAGAAAGCTGACAGTGGGCTTTGAAAACCAAGTTAAGGAAACTCTTAGATCAGGGGTCAGCAAACCTTTCTCTGGAAAGGACTAAATAAACTTAAGACTTTGCTGGTCATGTGGTTTTTGATACAACCATTGGACTTTGCCATTGTAGCACAAAGGGGCCATTGACGATACATAAATATAAGAATGGCTGTGTTCCAATAAAACTTTATTAATACAGATATGTCACAAAATATTACATTTTAATATTTATATTAAAATATAAAAGCCATTCTTAGCCCATGGGGCCAACAAAAACAGGTGTAATGCCAGACTTAGACTACGAGCTATAGTTTACTGACCTCTGTCTTAAGACACTTAAAGTGGAACAGTTAGAGATTACAAGGCTGTTTAATCCTGGAGAGAAGTGATAAGAATGTACATTTGTGGATATGAAGGTTCAACATCCTAGAGAAAGGACTGATCTTATTTCTTAACTTAATAAACATGCGGGATAGAGGGATTGGTTAAGACAACTTCAAGACTGTAAACCTAAGGGTCAGAAGATGGTAACACTGACAGAATGATAGAAATGAAGAAGCTGAGAGGCCCACCAGCATGATTGAAAGATGTGTATTTATATAACATGTTAAATATCAAACTGATGGCAGCATCTTTAAATGGAATGTTCTGAAAGCAACTGGCTAGGGCTGAAAAACAAACAAGAGGAAGGTCAGAGTTGGAGTGCAGACTTGGAAACTTTAGCAGGAGGTTATATTTGAACCTCAGAGAGTGAATGAGTTCTCCAAGGAGTAAGTATAAGGTCCTTGGCAGGGGCCAAGGACAGCACTTGGAGCCAATCCTTGGAAAAGTCTTCATTAAAAAAGAATGTTCAGTAAGATGGAATAAAAAGTGTTAGGAACACCAAAGTAGAAAGAATAACAAGTGGATCTAATCAACTGTGACAAGTGCAGCAGAATGGTTAAAACAAGATGAAAATTAAGGAAATGCATGTTATTTGTCTGTGATGTTCACTGGTGCTGACTAGTAAGTTTTTTTTTGTTTGTTTGTTTTTTGTTTTTGGTAGTGGAAGTAATACTATGCATTGGATGAAAGAGAAATTGATGGAGAGAATATGGAAGCAAGACATGAAGTCAAGTTTTCTAGAGTATAGATATGAAAGGAAGGAAGCAGGAAGTCAGAAGGGGCACTAGAGCCTCAGTATATTTAAAAAGCAGAAAGAAAAAAGGTCAGTGAAAAAGGAAAGGATGAACATATTAGGAAAGGATTTAGGTTTTCTTCTAGCAAGGATCCTCCCAATGTGAGAAGGCGGGCAGGTGAGCTCTTCTCTGAGTCAGCAGAGAAGAAAAAAATGAATGCAGGGGCAAAGGTTCACTGATGTGGAGCAATGAAGACAAAGATGTACACTACTGAAACATTCTTTTACGGATCTTCCTCAGTATAAACAATTCAAACTGATAAGAGAACTTTATTATAGACAGTGCTGCATTATTTGCTGTTACAACCTATTAAATCCTTCTTTTCTAACATTGCAGACTTAACATAATCATTCTTGCTTTTTTCCATAACTAGTTGAAAGTTTCAGAGCCCGTTTAACTCTGCCAACATTATTAACCTACCTAAACTTTATTCTGCTATCTTTACTTCTCAAAATGTATAACTGTTTAATACAATAACCTGTAAAGCAATCTGTGGAATGTTTGGCAGAGCAATGGTTAATTGGAATAAATTATCCAAGCAGTGTCTATACCATTATTATTAAACATTAACAGTCAACTTTTGCAATTTCAGATTGCTGATTTATTTATTTATTTTTTTTTTTTGAGATTGCTGATTTATTTTAAAATCAAGTTTGCATTTTTGTTCAAGAAAGAGGAATGAACTAAGACTGACCATCACTGAAGAATATATATGCCTTTTGCAAAATGCTATCAACTTTTAGAATGTTAAAATGATCTTCACTCCTATCAAAAATTTGCCAACACAAAATGACAGCAACTGTCAAACTGAAGCGTGCATAAAATCTGTGTTTGGGGCTCATCAGGATCAGTCTAATTTTAATAATGTGAAAGGAGCCTAGAAAATGTGCTTTTCAATAATTTTGATATTTTTTCATAAATATTTAGATGAAGAATGAAAACTCATCGTTGGACAGACAGTTCAGGGTAAGGCTGTCCATAATCTTAACTATCCATTTCCTCCCAAGTCACATGTATTTTTGTTAGAACTAAATATATCATACTCTTGGCAGCTCCCTTGCTTGCTTCAACCCATTCTGAGTTTGAATTTTCTGCATGACTGAGTTCACCTCCAAACTAGGAAAAATAAGAGTTTCCTCACTATCTAATAGATGTGTAGTCTATGGTATCACTCAGAAGATAAACGTTTTTATAATGGGCCCTTGACTCATTCAGGGTCACGCCAGCAATGGACTTCCTTAAATGCGATTACTGAAAGCACAGCAATTCATACCATAATCTTCACTTTAAGAAATAAAAAGGAAAATGGCCACTTAAACCTCCTGCTGTGCCAGTCAGCCCTGCTCCTCCACCTGAAGGTGCAAAATGTCTCATCTGCTAAAAAATGTCTCACTTCTCAAAAAAATCTGCTTCTATCAGAGATGAGCTCTTTATCACCCAAGAGCAGGTAAGGAAATATCATTAGTAGTTTTTTTCTACATTTTGAAACACTGACCCAAATAGAGATCAACAAAGAAAATCTAAGACCTTGTTTTTTAGGGGTTAAAAAAGAGAGAGAGAGATGTGGACCCAGAGAGTACAGTGAGATCCTAAGAAAAGTATTTCACATAACCCGAAAATTTCAAGTACATTTGTAGAGTAGTACCAGTGTTAAAATACCTCTTTTCTTTACATTTGCTAAAATGCAACTTGGTGAGA